TTCATAGACTGAAATACTAATTTTCATGTGTTGATTCTTTAAACATCAAGTCTTTGTCCCTAGGATAATTACAGAGACCAACAATCAAGTTATTCCCCCTGAAGTGACTTTTAGGGATTCCCTAATAAACCCAGTCTAATAAAGTGCCTCTGTTTGATCTGTTTCCTGTCTTTCTTTTCAAAATACCTCACTGTGGTTTTTACAGCTAAACCTCCTACAAAGGAAGCCTCAATTTTGCAATTATGCTATTTTATTAAGACCTAAATTAAAACAGAATTTTAAGAGCTTAAAGAGCTTAGTGCTTTACATTATTGAGTATGCAAGGACTGGTACAGAATCAGACACAGAATCATAAAAACACTGATTACTGAAAATAGGATTATCTAATATTTAGATTATTTATGGAACCAAGCAGGAAAAAAGTCATCACAATTTCTGTCTCACTAGACATGACAAACTCTCATTACAATTAGTATGGCCATGTGTTCAGAAACACTTTGCCTACACTGAAATACCATTAGATGAATTCATTGCTACTAGATACAGAGAAAATATGGGCTTACTTCTGGTTGAAAATTAGGTAAGTAGTCATGAAGAAGTATGTTAAAATTCAATGCTAACCCTCAACCAGTCATATTTCACATTGCCAGGTTACGTATGATCGTAAAACTTCCTTTATAATATGCTACCCCCTGTAGGTGTAACTGAACAAATCCAAGACCACCTGCAAAAATGCTTATGCAAGCAAGTCACAATCACATCTTACATTATTTTCTGTCTTTAGAGCAGTATATAGGAAAAGAGAGCACATTTGACCTCTCTTTTTTTAATATCACTCAAAATGTAATAAGTTAAAAGTTGATAAGGCTTGCAAAGCTTAGAATATCCTCCTCCTCTCCCCACCCCCACCAGTAAGGAAGGGTGAAAGTTTTCTTTACCAGTAGGTGAGAAGTATTGCTTATAAGTCATGCATCATACTCATTTACTTATGTTTAAGAATTATAATTTTTTTAATATTTCCCAGCTTACACAATTGTCTCTCACTTTCTAGTCTCTTGAAGAAGCTCTGAAAAAAGCTCTGAAAAGCCAACTTGAAGATGTTGTTGTGGCTCTCTTGAAAACTCCAGCTGAATTTGATGCTGAAGAACTCAGGGCTTCCATGAAGGTATGACAGGAATATGGCAGAAGAACTCTCAATTTACAATCTCCTTTTAATGCTACCCTTGCTTTAGTTTCAGTATATGTATATTCTTATAGTGTATGTGATGGCAAATAGCAAATGTGAAATGTAGTGATTCCTATTTCTATTTTCAAAATATTGAATAAGATCACTCTCTGTTTATTTAAAGTTTTGTCAAGATGGATGTCATTGCTAAACAGTTCCAATATAGCACAAACCATTTTGATTCACCTCTTCAGACACAGATTTCTATTTTCCATATTTTCTCATACACCACACATACCTTTCCCCAAAAATTAGCCTTCCAAAATTGGGATGCATGTCTTAAGTGAGGAAGATAACTTTTTTCTGCACAAAATAGAAGCTTAGAGATGCAGCAAGATAGCTGCTGCTGCTTTTCCTTCTCTTCCATCCAGAAGCCATGGGGAAAGGAAGGGTGGAGTTCAGCAAGAAGAGATCCAGGGGGAGCATGCAGTGGTATGGTCTTATACCACCATCATTCTTTCTCCCTCCCAAAATTTCAAACCTACTGACCAGCAGCACCAGTGGCATTTCTATTCATGTAGTGCTAAGGGGAAGAAATCAATTAATTTTATGACTTATTATAATATCTACCTGTTTACTGTTAATGGATCTTCACTCCACAGGTGTTAATGACCCACTCTCCTTTTTAATGCTCTTGATGTTTTACTAATCAAGCTATCTTTTCTTCAGAAATGTTGCTGTCTGTAAGTTACTCATGGTCTCTGTCTCCATGCTTCATAGCCCTACATTCCTTTTCAAAATCCTAGTTCCTCCAATGGAAGCTAGTCTTCAGCAACAGCTGCAGTTTCAGCATTTGGCTGAACAGCTACACACTGGTGACAGTTCAGCTGTGCAAGGGTTAAAACTGTAGTTGTTGCCTGAGCAGGAGAGGAAGGGTGAGTGAACTGAAGAATAGGCTCTGTCCCTTCTTTGTGCAGTCATAATTTTGTTAAAGTCATCCTCATTCTACTTCCTCAAGAAAAGGATGTGCATCTTATTTGGAGGTGTGTAATATTCAGGAAAATGGTAGCACTCTCTGGTTCTAAATGACCAGGAAGTAAAATATTCATACTAAAGCATTACCTTTTGTTTTGCTAAGTGCTAGTACATGTTTCATAAAGAATGAAAATACTGATTTTACTTGCATCATTCAAGACTCATCTGAAGATTTAGCCTTTGAACTGGTAGTCATTTGGTAGCCTGAACAAGGAAGATTTCAGGTAGTATATGAAAAAAATAATAAAAAAAAGATCTTAATTGCCTAGGGGAAAAAAAAGAATCAAATGATCTTTCTTTTATCTTATATCAAACTCATAAAGCAGGTAAGGCTCATTCTGCAAAGTTAAGTCAGGCAAGTACAAATTTTGATGAAACAAAGCTCAGTTTAACACCAGGCATTTTGTGGAGATGTACCCAAAGGCAAAGCTCATTTAGTAAATGCAGCCTTTGACAAAGATTGAACAAATGATGCACACTTTTTCTTCAGTCAGTTCCCCATAGTGTTCATTAAATTACTAATTTTTTTTTTAAAAGAAAATGTAGTTTCCTCTACCATAGTCCTGCAGTATGAGTCTTGCCCATAGGCTGTTCAGTCCTTTTAACATCTCTCTCAGGAGCTACTGGATTAAATATGATAAAGAGGAGTTATAGTAAGTGTAAATGATAGGATGGGAAGAAATACTTATAATTTCTGATCTATTGGGAGGTTTGAATTGCTGCATATGGCTCCCAGCTGTACTATACTTTCTCAGATTTATTCCTCTATAATCAAGGGCATTGATATTACAGCTATCGCGTGTGTTTCTGTGCCTCTTGATATTGTGTTTCCCTTGTTAAATGATGTCAGATAAAATTCACTCACACTTTTCTAATAGGGTCTTGGAACTGATGAAGATACCTTAATTGAAATTCTGGCTTCCAGGAACAACAGAGAAATCAGAGATGCCACCAGGGCTTATAAGGAAGGTAATTCATAGCTGAAAAAAATTATGAACAGGACATGTCATTAGAGCATATAAAAATTCGATTCAGTAGGACAGGAGAGACAGTCTTCCCAGCCTCGCTTCCTGACTACCTCCAGAGTAGACATAGTAAGCTTTATACCTTAATTCTTACATGGGAGGAATGGTGGTGATGGTGCTATACATGGCTAAAAAAGCTGCTAATAAAGTAAGCAGAGGAGCTGGCCTTGCTTCTGGATCCAGTAAAACCCTACAGTGGAAGGAAGAAGCTCATTAACTGCAACAGTTCTGGCAGAGTACCAACAAGTACTGAAAAAGAGGCTTTAGATGCTTTCTGGAATGCAAAAGGCACAATCTTATTGCCTGTTTTTTTTTCCTCCCTCCCTTAGACATTCACTTTTGATTCCAGAAATGTAGCCACATGTCTGCAGTGGCTCAAGCCAGATGCTGGGGGACACTTGAACATGCTTCCCTGCTTGGTGGGAGCAGACAGCTTGGACCAAGGCTAGCCCACCCATCCTTCCAGGGGTGGGGAGGGGCATTCAGGGCAGGTGCAAAGAATCCTGGGATTCCGGGGGACTGTGAATTAACATGAATCTGGAGGGGATCTGGGACAGAAGTTCAATAAACTGATTTAACGTAAATCAGTTAAATCTGATGCTACATCCATCTAAGTTTGCCTTAAACCAGTTTTAGTCCTTTTGAAAGTGGTTTATGTACACTGAACTTCTGTTGTGTTATAGATTTGAACCAGTTTGTAATCACTTATACTGCTTTATGTTTAATTTCTGTCCCTAGCTGTAAAGAAATTGCAACTAATAGACTGAGTACCTTTGGCTTTTTGCTTATACGGAGTATGTTTTCATTGCACAAAAAAGTGCTATGTAGAGATGCCCAAACTAACTTAAAAAAAGTTTTAAAAAGCAGAGTTAAATGACCTTCTTTTAAGCTAGTGCAGGTATCTCTGCATCACTCTGCACTGTTCAGCATAGACATGGTGTCTATTAGGGCTGTGCGAAGGTTCAGTCACTGATTTGGTTTGGCAGAGATTCAGCCTGGTTTGGCGGCTGAATCTCTGAATCCGAATCGAATCAGGAGATCCTTTAATCTCTCTGAATCAAATTGGAATCCTCTGAATTGATTTGGAGAGATTCAATGATTCGGACATAGACAGAGCTTTAAATGTTTTTTCTACCTACCTCAAGGTACCAGGTGGCTTGTGAGTGCTAAGATGGTGGGGTGGATGGAGCATCCCATGGGAGCATGGAGGGGTCCCCAGTGCACTTGGCGGTGGACCCAGAAGTGTACCAGAAGCACTTCCAGTACACTTCCGGTTCCACCGCAGAGCACATGGGGGAATCCCCCTGCCCTCCCTCTGGCTCAGTGACTGGTGCCTTCTGGGTCTGCATTGGAACCCAGAAGTGATTCTGGTACACTTCAGTCTCCCACTGAGCATGCAGGGGCCTCCTGCACCCCTGTGGGATGCTCCATCTGCCCCACCATCACAGCGTTCACTAGCTATGCCTGGTACCTTGAGATATGTCGAAAAAACATTTAAAGCTGTGTCTGTGGCTGAATCACTGATTCTCCAAATTGGTATCAAATCTTCAGATTTGAATTCGGCTGAATCAAATCGGGACAGTGATCCAAATCAATAATTCAAATCACTGTCCCCCAATTCAGGCTGAATCCAAATCAAATATGGCCCATTTTGCACACCCCTAGTTTCTATCACAGATTGTATTTCTTGTAATTTTATATCTCAAGCCCTTTGTGGCAGAAAGTATGGATAAAATGCACCTGACCAGTTAGCAATTTAAGTTACCATATCTATGTACAAATATTTAACTGGAAGAGTTATCTCATGGCAAGTATACATATAAATATAGGCATGCAATTGAACACTCATAATGAACCCTGGACAATTTGGGTCAAGGGACTTATAAAATGGACCTCAACCAGTACCCTGAGAACTTTCATCTTCTCTTTCTCAAGATTTAAGATAATTTTGATCTGAATCCAAATTTCCCAATTTATCTCAACTAGAAAGGAAAATAGGCACACAAATAACTATTAACACATCACTTCTTTCAAAGATATTGAATAGGGAAAATTAAGGGAGTAGCTTTTTAATACTGTCAAACAAATATTTAACAGGGAATTTTGTAACTGTGGGTAATAATTCCCTAGAAGAGACTGAAGACTTCTTTAACACCTCATACCACATTTTTAGATGCTGCATTTTGATTTATTTCAGTGTTTAAAAGGGATCTAGCACAAGACATTATTTCAGATACATCTGGAGACTTTCAGAAGGCTTTGCTTTCTCTTGCCAAGGTATGTCACATTTAAATAATTTTAGTTAATATTAGAAATAAAAAACATAATTGCCTTGATTAAATCATATTCTATTGTATGGACATCTGCTAAAGAAAGCGTGTTACTTGCATATTGTTTAAAGATGACTCAAAAACTAACAATAATTTAAAATATTCTTAATAAAAAAATCAATCCATTGGAACCACTAAATAATATTTAAATCTTTTATCACTTATAAAATTGATGAGAGTTTAATTATATTGAAAACAACAACTGAAAGTTGAAGGGGAATGCTCAGAAGTAGGAAAATTAACATTTTTACTATACATTAACAAACACTTTGTAATAGTAAAAACAGCTGGAGAAAGGTAGAGTGTGAAAGCTGGACAATTAACCTTATATATACATATTTAAAAGCTAAGAGATCAAATGGTAGAGAAGGGTTGTATGGAATATACAGGTATCAAACTTGCAAACTATCACAAATTGCATACAGTAGTGGGTATGATAGTTTTTGTAATGATCTTCTAACCATAATGGTCCAGGAAATTGTATATGACATTTCTAAAAATATTTTGGATTGAAAATTCAATAATCATATTACAGGAAAATTCTTAGTGCTCTAAAACTTTGCATTGAAGGCACACAGAAAAACAAAAGTCCATTGTTGTAATAAATAGAATGAAAATCAATGAAAATGGATTTTTTTTTAGGGTGACCGGGCTGAAGATTTTCAAGTGACTGATGATCTTGCTGATAACGATGCAAGGGTAAGAATATATTTCATGTTTTTCTCCAACTGATGTAGTGCTTTTCTTCATCTGATTTAGTTCCATAACTAGTAGCTGGTACCAGCTCCTCTCTCAGGCTGAGGTTATTCCATGATCTGCTCTCTCCCTTAAGGAGTTACACTTTAAGACTTGGATGAACTACTTGCTTTGGAAAGTACTATATTCCATGATACATATGCACTTCAGTAACCAAGGAAAGTAATCTGAAGTAATTCCTAGAATATGTAACTACTGGCCTCCATGCACTTAGCTCTTGATTTTGCTCTGCTGCAAGAAAGCTCATCAGAGGGATCTTTAAATTAAATTACAAGATGTAGCAGTTAGAACATGAAAAGAACTGAGGTCTCTGTCCTTCCTAAGAAATTACCTGTGATCGTTTGTTCTTGTAGTCACAAAATTCAGTAGAGCTCCCATTCCCTGAGGTGAAAATTCATAGGGAAAGCCTGTAATACCCTGGCCAACTCAACTTCATAATATTCCCTTTTAATTCTACCTTTCCCATTTAATCATAAACCTTTCAAAATTATTGAATGGCTGTTAGCTGGCCATTACTTTAGAAACTTACATGAAGATTTAAATACTATTGAATTTTCCCTTAGAGACCTTTCTAGATAAGTGAGACGGCTTTTATCATTATTGTGCGTAAATGCTATGGCTGTTATCACTGAATCAACAGTATTTTCTGGGCTTTCTGGCCTGTGGTGAAAAGTATGTGATCCCTGTTCTGTTCAAGACAGCTCATCTATCCCTGAATGGGAAGTGGTACATTATAGATTTCTTGGTCAACTGGGCACAACTGTTCAGCTCTGAATGGCCTACTGGCAAATCTTCTTTGCTGCCTGGAGATTGGCGGTAATAATGGGGGCTCAAATGTGATTTTGATGGGAGTAGTTTTGGAGAACTGGGGAACACGAGGAAATAAAAGTGGTTCCTGTTTTCCTGGTTCCTGCCCAGCGTGCATCTCTCCTTTTTATAAAGTTTCAGTGAAACTCCCATCTGAGCTAATTTAATGTTTGCTTTCAGAATTAAGAAGCCTGCTTATTTTTGACACAGGGAGCAACATATCACAATACACTAGAAAGGTCTTCACTCAGGAATGTAAAATGTTGTCTAAGAATATGATTCTATTAAAAATGTTTGGAAATTCCAGTCTTACTGGTACTTAGCACCACTAGCCAATTGTAAGGGGAATCCCTAAGGATAACCACTCTCTGCAGTAGTTTGGGGATTGAAGAAATCTGTGTCACATTATGGAATGTCCTTGACTGTTAATGGAGACGATGGTTCAGATGTTTACCTTTAGGTAACATAGTTGGAAGTAAAGTGTTTGAGTTGTTTCACAATAATGATATATATAAAAATTCTGTGCTTTACAATAGGCCTTATATGAAGCAGGAGAGAAAAGAAAAGGAACAGATATAAACGTATTCATTACTATCCTTACCATGAGAAGCTATCCACATCTTCGAAGAGGTAGGTTGAATGAAGTTGTCTGCATTAACAAATTTGTATCTTAAAAAGGTTCAGCATATTTCTCTAAAACATCTCAGAAGTATTAAAGTACTGACTTAAATGAGTGCTTCTTGAGACCAATCTTTCTATTCACTTTAAAACCTATTTGAGTGGGGCCCAAAATTAGACAAGCGGCACTTCTACACCAAACATTTAGTGCAGAGTTGACTAATTAACTGCTCAGTAAACATCTTGGCTTTCACACATGCACCCATATTAGGCCGCACAAAACTAAAAAACTCTGCAACAGGATAATACTTGTTTTTTGTGCTCAGCAGCACATGTGTAGATGCTGACCCAGCTGGCTAGGGCACAAAGGTGCTTCAGTGCAGGGGCTGCCTGCGGGCTAGGCCCACACTGAAGCACCCTTGTATCCCAGCCAGCCCTTCTACAGCACCTGGAGCTGGGTCATGGCACCAGGTTGGCAGGCTGACTCCCAGGACCCCCTGGCAGCCAGGGCTAATCCAACCTGGCTCAGTGTGCTGTAGTCTGGGCACACATGTAAACTGAATGCCTGGGAGTTTCCCTGGAGCAAGAAACTGCAGAGCAATAAGCTTCGCACTAATGGTACATGTAGACATGCCCACTGTGAAACATAAATTTTACAGTTCTGTTTCTGATAGTATTTAAGAATAAGATCCTGAACATTTGTTATCAGAGATGCCATAGCATTCTTCATAAAAGGAGAAATGGAATCTCAATAATTCTAAAAGAATTCCAGGTTTTGGATCATTTTATTATTAGAATGATCTTTTCCTATTGTAATTGGAAAATATGGGGAATACTTTCCATCTTCTGCTCTTTAACTTGAATGTCATAGCAACAGTGCCTGATGTTTCCACTCTACCCCCAACAGGAAAGGAGTTTGTCTCTCAGCACCAGGTTAAGTGATTGCAAAACACCGTGTGTCAGTACTTTTGGACCTTTGTGGTTAAAAAGACATTTTTATCAATGGAAAGATACTTTTCAATCCAGTGAACAAAAATATACACTTGATAAGATTTTTGTGCACTGATAGTTCTGGCAAGCCCCTTAAATAAATTATTCTTAAGAAATATGTTCCTCGTATATATGCATTTTAGGTGGTAATAATAGAGTAACTGTTGCAGAAGACTGCCATTTTATACTTTAGTTAAAATATGCCCAATATGCCCAAGTGATCTTCAAAAGTGAATACAGTAGAAATGATTTGGGCTTACCCTAATTTGTGAAGGACTGCTTATATATAGTACAGGATATAAACCAATCACTATCAATCTGAGTTCAGAAATATGGGCATGCTGTTGCATAATTAACTGTTAGAGAGTTTTATGTCCTTTCTTCTGAAGGTCTAATGTCCTTTTCCAGAGGCAGGACATCAACCTAGTACGGGATTGACCATTGTTCTGATTCAGTCCCTGTGTTCTTGTGTCTCTGGCTGAAAACCCTAGCTGGTTCAGCTCTTCTGAAAGGGTTTCGTAGACTGCTAATTTGAGGACCTGATTGAGCAGCTAGTTAAATTATTTTCCCCACATGGCAGACATGAGAGAACCTGTATATGAAAGAAAGGCATGTTTTCCTCAGTTTTCACTAAGCTGTCCATCTATGCGCAGTCTTCCAGAAATATAGCAAGTACAGCAAACATGACATGAACAAGGTGCTGGACCTGGAGCTGAAAGGGGATATTGAGAACTGCCTGACAGCTATTGGTATGTAATCCTGCTTGATAAGCAACTTGTTGTTTCTATATTGGTTTTTTTCATAGATAAACAGGTCGGGAGTAAAATGTTATGTATCTATACATGGGAAGGAATTTTAATTTCTTATGTTGGTTTCAATTAAAACCTAACATCATTATTCTACATGATATAGTTTATTAGCTACCACTTGTGAAATCCAATATGAACAGACTGTTATTTCAAATAAAGCAAATTACAATGAAAATGTAAATTTTCTAAAATACAGATGCTTCACATACAGACCCCAATGCTCATTTACAGTAAGATAACTTTATATTTCTCTAGAACTATAAAGGGACCTTAATTTAAAGTCCTCAACTCTCTTTAAAGATCTCTTTATGAAAAGGCAACAGACAAATAAGATGTACAAAAGCAATATAAAATTGCCCTTGAGGAAATGAAAACCATCCTGTATTTTTTTAATATGCTTCAGATTTACTATGTGCACTGATAAAATATTGCAAATTGTCCTCCTGGGGCCTTTTCCAGGAAAAAAAAGCCCCGTACTTGTAAAGACTGAAGGCATATTGTATATTTTTATTTTCCTTGTTTCTCTTACTATGGCCCTTGCTATGTTATTATGAACAGTATAAATGAAGACAGAATAGTTGGACTGAATAGTGCCTCACTTAAAACACCATATCAGTAGAGTAACCATCAGACTTGGAGTCAAACTTGGGCCCTTTGTTAGCTGTAGACAGCATAAATTTGAACTGTTTTCAAAGGGAAACAGCACTCACTGCTTGGGAACACCAATCAGCTGTTCAGCTGTCAATACTTATATTTGTTCCTATAGTGGTATAAGTGGTGTAAGCAGGTGTAACTTTAACCCTGAATGAAAAAGAGTTAAAGTTACAATGGTTTTGTTCCATTATATTGGAACACCTTATACTAATATAATTTTAAGACTGGTTCAAATTATATCTGTCCATGCTGTTTGTGTGAGTTTGTGCAAGTTACTGATAGACACGAGCCAGCCCAAAGGGAAAATAGGTTAGGTAGGATCAACACAAACCAGCCAGTAGACTGAGCCAGACACATATAAAAGTTATACTGTCCTAGGCCGCATCCACATATGCAGGCATGTGTGATTTGTGATGCCACAAACCTCTTTTCTGGTAGCAGAAAGGTACATAACATGCCAAAATAGCATTTGCTGGGATAAACATGGAGACCCCATGTGGAGGCACAATGTGCCTTGAGACAGGGGAACAGGCAGCCCTGGGCTGCCTGCTCCCTGTTTCCACATGTCATAGTGTGGGGGCTCCACTGCAGAGCCCCCATGCTTAGGCACGTGGAGATGGGAGAGGAGGCAGCCCAGGGCTGCCTGCTCTCTACCTGCTGCTCTCCAGCTGACTGGGGTACAGGGTGTCTCAGCATGGGGGCAGCCTGCTGGCTACTGTGTCCAGTTTTGGGCCCCTCACTATAGAAAGGACATGGACAAGTTGAAGAGAGTCCAGAGGAACAAAGAAAATGGTTTGGGGGCTGGGTCAAATGACATATGAGGAGAGGCTGAAGGAACTGGGTTTATTTAGTCTGTAGAAGGGAAGACTGAAAGGGGATTTGAGAGCAGCCTTTAACTATCTGAAGGGTGGTTGCAAAGAGGATGGAGCTAGACTGTTCTCAGTGGTGGCAGATGACAGAACAAGGAGCAGTGGTCTCAAGTTGCAGCAAGGGAGGCTTAGGTTAGCTATTAAGAATACTTTCTCATGAGGAAAGTGGTGAAGCACTGGAACAAGTTAAATGGAGAGGTGGTGGAATCTCTATCCTTGGAGGTTTTTAATGCCCGGCTTGATAAAGCTTTGGCTGGGAAGATCTAGTTGGGAAGGGTCCTGCTTTGAGCAGGAGGTTGGATGAGGTGACCTCCTGAGGTCCCTTCCGACCCTCATTTTCTATGGTTCTGTGATTCTAGCCCTGTGTTAAGGCACCCAGCTCCCCAGCCAGGCTCCCCCACATCCCACAGCACATGGAGCCTGGTCAGAGTAGCACTCTGGGAGCCAGGAGGAACTGGGCACAGGGAGTTTGCCCACAAAGGGACAATGGGTGGGCACAACGTTGATAATGTACAGAGGTGTGCATTGCAGCACAAAGTAGAGGCACAAATTTGTGCCACTGCTATTTGTGCCACTGCAACTGCATGCCCCTGCTCATCTGGATGTGGCCCTGAAGTGCAACAAAGTTGGCATGTTGTCTGAACGGGACTACACACAGACAGATAGATGGAAAGCTCTTCATTGTTGTTAAGCTTTTTGCCATTACTGGACTTACAAATAACTCTCAGTATTTTGTGCAAATATATCTTAGACATTACTTTAATTTGGTATGGCTAGCGTAGGTAACCAGAACAAGAAAAGATACTGTCACACCTCCTTAATACTGAACACATGGTTGAGACAGTTAGTTTCCAGTTGGCATAGTTAGTTGTATCATATATTTCCTAATAAATAAACAGATTCACTGTGGTATTTAAGAATTGCCAGTAAATCTCTTCTGTATGCTTTCTCTTCTCGTGCTGGACATTCAATTCTAGATGAACAGGAAAGAAAGTAGCGTACTATATTTTTCTGAATTTTAATATACCTTTTAATATAAAATATTTCTTCTGAAAATGACATGCATCTTACATTTAAGTAAAAGAAAAAAGTAAAAAGCCCTTATTTGTACCACATAAGTTGTATCTTTAATATTGGCAGAAGGCAGGATAGAAAGGCACCTAATAGAATATCAGAGATGCATAAATTTGCAAGAGCTCACTGTCTGACTTTAGACTAACATGACGAGCTGCCTCTCTTATTTATCAATGTATTTCTTTCTTAAATTGGGAATAATAAAATGTGTGTGTTTTAAACACAAGGATGTCTTGCATTTGAAGGAATACAGTATGACATTTCTGGTTCATTTTAAAGGAAGATACAGAAATAGTAGAAAAATCAGAGATGCTGCTAATCTAATGTACCTGGTAATGATAGAATTACTTTGTTTTTAAAAAGTGTTTTCTTCCCACACTTGGATGTGGGTTAGTAGTCGTTGTTACTGAAGTGTCATATATAATTGTGCGTTACTGTTCTATTACAGTGAAATGTGCTACAAGCAAACCGTCTTTCTTTGCTGAAAAGCTCCACCTGGCCATGAAGGTAAATTATGCTGAGAACTATTTAGGAGGGTTGAGGGAACAATTTCAAAAGTAGGGCAACAATGAAATAGGCTAGATCATTGTGCTCATACAAAATTTTTCAGGAAAAAGCAAAGGGGAGGAAAATCAAGTGAGTTACCTTAAGAAGTGTGCTGCATAACTCAAAGAGTTAGGGAAAGTATCCATCAGTGATTCTCATTAGGAATTTAGTTGTCTTTCTAGCTCTCTATGCATCTAGAGTGGATATTCAAAGTGAATTCTCATTTTAAAGATATTAATGTCTGAAATGGTGAATGCTGATCAAATGAGAATTAACTTTAAGAACCTATTTTACAAGGGAACTCCAGGGTCAACAGCTAAGATAGGGAACTGTATCAGCGTAAGCCTAATGGAGCTACATTAGAAGGGGACTGAAAAGAGGAATCTGAGGATATTAAAGCAGGAGAAGCTCTGGAAGCGGAACCTCTTCAAATAGGTGTGGGGACAAGAGTTTGCAGGTCCTGCAAAACAGCTATTTCTTTTCCATTGTTGAAAGTGTATGCAATTCCTTTTGATGTGAAAAACGTATGTCCAGATAGAGGAGAGATTAACACATACTATGCTGATCATGCGTGACTGGTGCCTGGGGGGGGCGGGGCACCAGATTGCCGACTGTGGGGAGGGAGGGGTCCCCCAGCGGCCAATCACTGGGCTCAGAACCACCAGTGGCTAAACTGGTGGAACTGGAAGTGCACTTCCGCCAGCACTTCCTAGTTTCATGGCAGGTGCTTCCAGGGGGTGCACATGCACCTGTGTGCACCCGTCAATTATGCTGATTGAAGAACAGTGTAATAATGATCTATTTTTAACAGGGCTCTGGGACCCGTCACAAGCAACTGATAAGAATCATGGTTTCCCGTTCTGAAATTGATATGAATGAGATCAAGGGATATTATAAGAAGCTATATGGTGTCTCTCTCTGCCAAGCCATTATGGTAGGTTTTTCCATTTCAGCTGAAATACAGAATGTAAACTAATAATTATTAGAGGCCTGGAAGGATGACTCTTGAGGAAATACTGAAAGAGATAGGATTAGTTAGTTTGGAGAAGAGAAGATGGCGGGGAGGGGGGAACTTGAAAACAGTCTTCAAATATCTGAAGGGTGATTACAGAGGGAATGAAGATGGGCTTTTCTCTAGGGGGCAGGAGTTGAAGCAATGGTCAAGTTCAAGCTGCAGCAGAAGACATTTAGGTTGAAGATTAGGAGGAACTTTCTGACTATGAGGGCACTCAAGCACTAGAACAGGTTATGTAGAGAAGTCATAGAGTCTCCCTTCCTGGCAATTTTGAAAAGCAAGTTGTACAGATGCTTGGGTAGGATGGTTTAGTGAGGGATGATCCTGCCTTGAGCGGGGGGCTGAACTAGATAACCTCATGAGGTTCCATCTACACCCTATAATTATGATTCTATAATTAGAGGTCTGAAGGACTGGAAATAAACTCCACAGATATTCTCTTTTAGGTCACTAATTTTAATGCATTCTGGATTGGGGGAAAAAAGACTAGTAGCTGATGGCTTAGTGACATTCAGAAAAATAGTGTGGCTAATTCAGTTCCTTCAGTTCCCAGTGTGTGGCACTGTTGCAGTGGCAATGTAGGTCATGCTTTATGGTAGATTTGGCATAGAGGCCAAGGATTGAGCTGGAACTAAGTATCCATCAGCCCTATCTGTTTTGTTTTTTGAGGCACATCTTTAGGGTAGCATAGGAAAGCATGCATTGCTCCTGCCTGTCCTGTAAGTGATCAGGGGAGGGCTCCTAACCTTTATATTTATGCACGTTCTTAACTTCATGCATGATGAGTTGTGTCATTACATTTAGCAGGACTAATCTGAGTTACCAACTTAATCAGGGGCATCAAACATGTGGTGGATTAGAAACTTTAGATCATAAGCTCTTTGAGTCATATAGGCTGTTCCTTCCTCTGCATGTTCTGAGGACTGAGCACAATAGGTCTTCTTGTCACTACTGTAATAATATATTTTATTGTGTTCTCAAATTGACAGGATGAAACCAAAGGTGATTATGAAAGCATTCTGGTGGCTTTGTGCGGTGGAGACAACTAAGTTTCAGATTCTGCTGATGCATTCCAGCCTCATTGCCAAGGACCATTACCTTTGTCTCAGCCTTTACAACATATAATATAGGCTTTAAACAGAGGCATCTCTAGTTTGGACTATAGTCCACACATGCTATCTGGAAAATGTATAGCCTGGAAAATATATTTTAATATCACTATTAACTCTCTTTTTTCTACTATTTATCCAAAGCTAAAGAGCATACTAAAGGTTCTGTTTGCTTTAGGAAAACTATCCTTGTAAAAGGACAGTTTTTGCCTGAAAAGGCAAGTGCAGCTTTACAAATAAAATTAAATTTATGAAAAAGGTCTAGAATGTTCTTTGTGGCTGGTCTGTCCCACTCCTCATAATACTGGACATGAGAATGAAATAAAGTTTCTGTCCCACTAGTCATAATACTGGACATGAGAATGAAATAAAGTTTAACACAAAGCAACTTAACAATTTTATATGGCACAATTGACTGCCCACCTTAAATAAATAGAATGGTATGGGTTTATGTAAAACGATGTTTGGAGGCAGAACAAAAAAAGAGTAAATGCTAATGTGATATTTCAGTGGCGGTAGGCATTTCCAACCCAAAAAGCTACTGTTCCATGAGATGCTGTATACTGCACCAGACCACTTAAATGGCTTAATTACTACGTCTGTAATGTAGTAATGTCAGGAATGCATAGATGTCCCCAACACACACTGATAGTGACAAGGGCACGATGCTCTTCCGTTTTTTGTTTGGTGGGGTGTTTTTTTGTGGGTTTTTTTGGGGGGGGGGGGGGGGGGGTTGGTACAGACCAAACCTTACGAAACCTCACTGAGACAAAGAGATTAGGGATTTAAATACATTCAGATAGACATCTAATCATATTAAGAATAATTTGCAACAAGACCCTTAGTGTCATAATGCAAAAATATTTCTGATTAATTCTAATTAATTATCATTTATTAGAGCTGGATCCTCCAATCGGACTAATCTGCATTCTCCATTGGTATTGGAGACAGGAGACAGGGACAAAAAGAGTGTTTTCTTTAGTCCCAGAGCTGAGAGGATCCTTTTTATCACTGAAGTTTGAGATGAAGGTGCTCAACAATAATCACTCTTGGTTACTTATGATAATAGATAAGTTAGTCAGGTACCCATCAATATTCCTCATTATGATAACATCCTGATATTGTCCACAGAATACTGTGACTGTACATAAAGATGCAAGACAATTAGAAAAAAAATGCAGGTCCCAATGGTAATGTGGTCAAACTATGGATTTAATCAAAGCATACTGTAAACTAGACTACTCAAAGCTAAAAGGTATGAAAAATCAGAGTAAACTGACAACGGTATAGTCATTTAGCTTTAGTATTGTCAGTATACTCTGATTTTTTTTTTTTAAATCTCTCCACAAAAACAACAAAACAAAACAAAACAAAAAAAAAGCTTCTTTGAGCAAGGAGAGGAAGTGTAATACTTCATCATAACTCAGTCCTGGTCTACTCTTAATGCAGTAGTGCCTATATATTGTATATTTGAAGTGAACACTTATCTTCCATCTGGTGTTATCTATGCTTGTGTAGTGTAAGCAAAGTTACTAAAGTAGTGGATGTCCTGCAGGATGGATAAGCAGCCATCTGCTGCTCACTGTAGCTAGCAGTGCACTGAAGGAAAGTCTATGTCAGTGTTGTTCTTATTGAAAATGAGACCAGATGGCTTTTGTCAGGCCACACTGGCTGGGACCAGCAAAGCTAGAAGCCGGAACTATAATTGTGTGACCATGTTTCAACCAATCAATGTAAAATAGAGGAGAGAGATTAAAATGCAATTCAGCATCCCTAATAGTAATATTTATGTGCACATTTCAATGGAAAAATTGCTATAGTTTGTTTCCTGTTTGGTTGCATTACAATTATTTGTCCTGTGTTTAGTCCTCCCAGTCTTTTGCCAATGTTTTAGAGCATGGCTGTTCAACTGCTGGCCTGCAGGTCAAATGCAGCCCAGGGATCCATGGCATTGGATGGCACCCACAGGGCTCCCCATGAATTGGGAATTTGGTAGCAGGGGTGCAGAGGCAATCAGTCACCCTCCCCCACTACCAAATTCCTAAGCCCTGTGCAGCCCAATCAGTGCTGGGCCACACCCCCCAACCCCATACAGTAGGCTAGAAGGCCGGGCCACACACCCTTCCCTGAGTACAGCTGGATCAGGCCAGGTCAGGCCACACTCTCGTCCTTCCCTCCCCACAGCACCCAGATCAGACCCACCAAATCCAGCCTGTGGGTGGTCTGAGCACTGTCCATCCAGCTAGGGAGAAAAAGGTTGGGCACCACTGCTTTGCAGAAAAGAATAACACCCGGATCAGAAAAACATATCAGGAGCCTCTGCATCTCCCTCTGCTCAGCTGTGTGGAGAGCTCCTTTTCTACTAATGAGTTTTGGCCCAGAACTAGAACAATGGACAGGAAAAAAATGTTAAAGGAAGACAACACAGATGAGATGCTTCTTAAGATTTTAAGTACAAACATACTAAGTAGAGCTCTTGTAAGATACTGTACAGCTTCTACTCTAGACACAAAGCTTCTGTTAAGATGAGATTTTTTGGTATGGGAAGAATCTTGCATAGATCTAAGGCCTGAGACAAATCATATCAGATTAGTGCTGGGGCCATTATTGGGACCTGGCTACAGCAGCCACAAGTAACATAATTTACAGCAGCTCTAAGCGCTAGCTCTAGAGTGTGTAATGGGCTAAAGGATAAAGGCCCAAGTTGCTCAAAACCTGACTACCCTATCTTTATTCCCCAAGGATGTTGTGTCAGTACAAATTAGATTCCAGGATTGTACGCAATGCCTTAGTTGAATTTTCCAATAATTTCCTTGAATCCTGTAATGAGGTCCGATCATAGTTCTGGGCCCCACCAGTCACAACAGAGAACCATTCTAATTCACCTCCTGAGGCTGTAGGGAA